GTCTCCTGAATAGCTAGGATAACAGGAGTCCAGCATCTGGCTGAAAATTTAAATTTAACTGGATATCTTATTTTTTCCTGACATTCTTATGCAACAGACAAGCCCCAAGTGCGTCTCAGGAGACTGTAGATGACTTTGGGGATGTCAGGATTTTCTGAGTCTGAAGACACAGGGAAAGTTAGTGAGAATATTTATGTCCACCTGTAGGAATGTTGGAAATTCTTTAACCAGGTTGAGAACTGGATGGTATTTTACTAAAGAGTCTCAGGACTTCATGGAAAACAAGATACATGTGAACTAGGACAGACTGAACAAATTTAAGATGAGGTTAATGTCATACTTAATAAGAAAGTTAATGTGGGCATAACAGGTATGCTTCACCTACTACCACATCAGTGCTCTACACTAACCAAATGTGAAGCTTTAGACAGTGTATGAGGGGTGGCTGTATGACTTCTGTTGATTCTGGATGGGCTGGTTCATGTTTGGGGATCAGGCTATGAGATGTCCTTGGCTACCTTCTGTTTCTCCCTCTCCTTTTCTTAGGAACACTCAACTAACCTAGAGGTGTCTCTCTCAGAGCAATACTTCTACACATTGAAAGCAAATGGGAACATGTAGCATCTCATTTCTACTCATTTTCATAGGCACAATCACTGCTTTTCCAAGTGGAGTCGTGGGCTCTGCCTCTTTGGGAAAAGGAACTGCAGGATAAAATATGTAGTTAAAGTTAAAGGAATATGTTATCTGTTAATCTGCCACATGGGAAAGATAGGAGGAAAAAATAATAATTGTTGCTTGTTTTGAAAACTAGGATTGTTTACACACATACCATCATGTTCTTCTTCAATAACAGTAACTTCTGTGACCTGTGAATGAAATTCTCATTTGTAATGCATCAATTCCAATAGCTTTACAGAAATCACTACATTGTATCACAGGTGTCAAAACGCTTATTAGAAAAGCTTTTTATGAATGGGCGCATGGTGCCATGTTTTCTTGCTATAAGCAATACATATATATCCATATGAAGAGCCTGCAGTATTAAACATGGAACATTGAGAAAAGATAGACAACTGGCGGAAGATCTAGAACAAAGCAATGATTGCCCTTTGAAATCTAGCACCATTTTCATCACCATTATTTGGTATGCTCAGGCATTGGAAAGAGCACCAGTAATCACATGTGGATTTCTAAGATTTATCTGGGCATCTGACCTTTATAAAGTATCAACTGCTTCATGTAATTTTTTTTTCAAAGTTGGGTTACCAGTTGGTGATCCAGTCTTTTTCTGTACGTTTTTATTGTAAATATTGTACAGAGGGGTTACAGTTACATGAGCAAGGTAATGAGTACATTTCCTATCGAGCATTGCTGCCTACTCCTCTGTTTTTCCCCTACCATTCCTTCCCTCCCACCTCCATAACTACTGCCCTCCTCTAACCCCGCCACCGAAGTTGTAGTTTGTTTTCAACAAAGTGTCACATTGTTATAATGGGTCACCTGTATCCCTATTTAAGCATCTTGTTTTTTCCCTTCCCCTCCCCAAATTAGAGAAGTATATCTACAAGATGCAGGGCACCAGAATCAAATACAGTGGAAAAAGGGGTTATACCATGAGGGAGGAACATACAAAGAAACAAATACATTATAAATACATTAGAAACAGTAGCAAGAAAGAAAAACAAAATATTTTTGTCCCTATCTTGGGGTTCATTTCACTTAACATCATCTTTTTGTTGTTGTTGTTGGTCATGGGGCTTGGACTCTGGGCTTGGGCGCTATCCCTCAGCTCTTCAGCTCAAGGTGAGCACACTACCACTTGAGCCACAGCGCCACTTCTGGTTTTTTAGTGGTTTATTGGAGATAAGTCTCAAGGACTTTCCTTCCTGGGCTGGCTTTGAACTGTGATCCTCAGATCTCAGCCTCCTGAGTAGCTAGGGATTACAGGCGTGAGCTACCGTGAACATCATCGTATATGGTCATATGTATATAGCTTTTGACTTCAAGAAAATGTGATACACACACACACTGGAGTTCTATGCCTCCATCAGAAAGAATGGCATCGCCCCATTTTCTAGGAAATGGAAAGACTTGGAAAAATTATATTAAGTGAAGTAAGCCGGGTACAAAGAAATATAGGTCACATGGTTTCCCTTATTACAGTAACTAGTACATGTCTAGGACAAGCAGAAAAGGTCAAAAGCTTCATGTAATTTTTAAAGAACCATTTAGGGTTAAATAATAAAAAATTCTGCACAAGCCCTAAAGCACCAAATATGATCAAATAATAGCAAAGAATGAAGCTATAGCCCATCTTGACTATAGACCTTCATTGTGAACTCTAATTGTAAGCCTCTTTGATCAAAATTAGTATTAAAAAGATGGAATTCTGAACTGTTTTGTATTGCTTTTCTTCACATGTAGAATACAGAAAATGAACTGGCATTAGAAAAATAATTGTATTAGTTGAGATACATAGGGTCAAGCATGATCAACATTAGGTCTCAGGAAAGACTGGTCTGATTTCAAGGACTTGGCTCAAGCAGTAGAATGTGAAGTCTGTGACCAGTAGCTGGTGGTCAAAGCTAGATCTGGCGGCAGAAGCAGAGGTGAAAGGTGATGAACAGTGAGTGGCTTATCAGAAGAATAGGGGAGTATCAATTCTGCTCTGTAACAGTATTAAATATTGGTTCACAGAAAAAAATAATTCTATGTACCGCTTAAAATTCATTTAAACATTAAATCTGCCCATTGAAATAGGTATAGTTATTCAAATTTTCTGCAGAGAAAATGAGGCAGAGAAAATAATTAGCCTAAGATCCCACACTTTCCAAGTTGAACATCTGAGATTTGAACCCAAGTTTTTTGGGCAGAACTGCGGTTTGCAGTCAGGGCTTTTCTGCTCTATCCTTAAGCCATGCTCCAGTCCTGAACCTAAATATCTCGACTCCAACTAGCAATGTGTACTAGAGAGAAAATAGAGGATGACTAGATGAATATGGTAGATTTTTTAGGTACAAAAACTACAACTAGGAAGTGGCACTGTAGCTCAAGTGGTAGAGCGCTTGCCTTGAGCTGCACCCAAGCCCAGAGTTCAAGCCCCACGACCGACAAAAAATAAACAAGACTACAACTACTCTTTATATAGTAAGAAAAACTCACACACAAAAACCCAAACAAAACTGTAGAAACATTGTATAAAAAATGCATCTATTTAAGGATTCAGTAACAAAATATTAAAACCAATTCTCTTTAGAGAAAGCAAGATGCTAAGGACAAAAACCTAAATGTTGCCGGGCGCCGGTGGCTCACGCCTGTAATCCTAGCTACTCAGGAGGCTGAGATCTGAGGATTGCGGTTCAAAGCCAGCCCGGGCAGGAAAGACCGTGAGACTCCTATCTGCAATAAACCACTAGAAAACCGGAAGTGGCGCTGTAGCTCAAGTGGTAGAGCGCTCGCCTTGAGCTGAATAGCTAAGGGACAGCGCCCAGGCCCAGAGTTCAAGCCCCATGACCGACAAAAAAACAAAACAAAAACAAAACAAAAAAAAACCCTAAATGTCTTAAGTTGGTTCTATGCAATCATTTCTCTTGCTTAATCACTTGAAGATACGATGGATGAAAACTACTTGTTACAACCTTCTCAGTTAATTAGACTACACATGTGTTAGAAAAGAATGTATGTATCAACGACTCATGTGATGTGTAAATATTTGAGCTATTTCAGTGTATACTAGAATCTATGTGTAACAAATACAATTTCAGACAGTAGTTTCAAAAACTAAAATGCTATAAATAGTTGATGCTTCCTGTAACTCTCAATTGTCCTCCTTTCTTGGTTAATTACCAATGAATATGTGTAAGTATTTTTCCATATACACAGCCATCATGTACAGTATCATGTAGCACAGAGGCTAGCACTCTACTACCTGAACCACAGCTGTACTTCTGGCTTTCTGGAGGGTAGCTAATGGAGATAAAGGGTCTCACAGATTTTCTTACCTGGGCTGGCTTCAAATTGTGATCCTCAGATGTCTATCTCCTGAGTCAGTAGGGTCACAGGCATGACCCACCAGCACCTGGGATACCTTATTATTATTATTATTTTAATGATTAAGTTGTGCATCAGTGGCTCACACCTGTAATCCTAGCTGTGCATGAGGCTGAAATCTGAGGATCACAGTTCAAGGCCAGCCTGGGTAGGTGAGATTCTTATCTACAATTAACTTCCCCCAGAAGTGGAGCTGTAGTTGTGGGCCCTAGTGTTGAGTAAAAAGGAGCAGGGACAGTGCCCAGTCTCTTAAGCTCAAGCTGTAGGACTGGTACAAAAATAAACAACCAGAAACCACCTGATTATTTGTGGAATATCTTTTTGCCTTTATAGTACTTACAGTGGATACATTTTATATCTTACACTATTTAAATTTATGATCTCTTTTATGAATGTTTCCTTTATATTTCAACATTTCACATACTGAAGTGAGGCCTAAAAGCACTGAATATATACATCTGGGGTTAAAAAATTAAATATATTTAATTGCAATTTGAAATAAGGAATCCAATTTTCTTTCAAGTGGATAAGCAAGCATACAAACACAATTTTTCAAAGCTTCTTTCATTTTTTCCACTGGTTTATGATGTTGTTTTTCAAGTAGCATTAGACACTTACAATGTCAGTGTCAGAAATGATGCAAAGTTTTTAATAAGTGTTTAGCTCTTGGCTTTTAGAGTCAGAATGCTAGGCTTAAATGTACCCCAAGAGACATATGATACTGGCACCCAGGAAGGTGAGGTAAAAGGATGGTGAGTTTGAGGCTAGCACGGGTGAAAGAGCAAGACTTTGTCTTCAAAACACAAAATCAAGCAAAACAAAACAAAAAGGAACACTAGGCACCCTGATACTAACTTACGTATTAACTGGTTGATAGAAATGTGTTCAACATATGAGACACAAAGATATATTGATTGACACAAATTTCATTAAAAAAAGCACCCAAATATATAACTTGCTTTTATTAAACAGGAAAAGTATTCGCACATTTTTCAAAGAGGCAAATATTTCAATAGTTTTAAGGAAGACCAACAACTCAATGTCAGCTTGTTTGAATAAAGCTTCTGGAATAAAGGAACAATAACATTCTTGAAGTAGGCACAGGATACCAACAAGCTCTAGATTCCAGAACAGTTAGAAACCAATCAATTAGGCACTATTTTATTACTTTTGTAAGCTTTCATGTAAGTATGTATTATTATTTAGAATATTAGCATCTGTACTATATAGTGACTATCATTTTACTTGAATGAACATCAGGATTTTAGCAACTTCAAATACTCTTTAAAATTCTTCAAAATGGACACATAAATCAACATCCTTCGTCTCTTCATACCCAATGTGAAAATAATTGTCATATCAACATGTTCACAGGAAGATTTTTTTAAGGCTTCTGGCACATAAAACACGTAGTATCTTTGTGACAATGTTATAATTATATACAGAAATATTTAAAACTTCTTGTACAATGTAAGGTATAAAGGTTAAAAAATCAAGGGTTCTATATCAATAAAGTACTCAAATATTTTTTCCTTTAGATTTGACACTCATTTGTAATAAAAGAATGTGCAATGTAAGTCTCATACAGTAACTGGCTCACCAATGAAAATAATTGAGCTGAATATATTTATTTGATATTCTAGTTTTCTTAATCATTCTTCAGCACAAAACAGGCTTTAATATAACTTACAAACATCTGCAACTAATCTATAACACTGAGGCAGCAAATGCCAGACCTGTGTCTGCCTATTTATGTGCTGTACAACTCTATAAATCTTCATTTAAGCATTTTGTATCAAGCACTATTCTAGACATTGTGTCAATAGGAAGAATCAATAAAGCATAACTAATTCTCATTTGAAAAAGATGAAAGTCATTTACACTGTATTTCAAAGTTCTACAGCAGCATCTTTAGCTCTTAAGACCAGAAAAAACATAAGGACCAAAACATCATTATAAATTATAAATTCTAGTAACTCTTCTTTTGGCATTAAAATCCACAGCAGAAATGCTTATATTTTAGGAGATAATATATTAGTGTAAATCTGAATATACATTTGTCAACATTCTCTGTGGGTAGGAAATTGGTCTGTAATGTAAGTGGCAAAGTGCAGTGTGGCAGAGAAACATTTAAGGGCTCTCCTGGGCATCAGAGGATAGGGAACGGCTCAATCGTGACCTTCCATTCACAGATATTGTATTTGATGGAACAGTAACCTAGGAAAAACAAACACATTTTACACCGATAGATTTAAATTGGGACAGCTGTCTACTTTTCAACAATTACCACGAATTAACTTCTGCTTCGTTGTAAATGCTAACATTCAGTATTATTCAATAATTTACAAATAATCAAGAATAAATGTTCACCCTACCATGAAATGAGAAATGAGAGAGTTGTTATTTTCACAACAAACAAGTTAAATAATCCATTAACACATCTTAGTCTTTATAAAATTACCAAATCAACATAAAGGACAAGAGCACAAACAGACTGCAGGCCAAGCTGTTGAAGAACATTTTTAGCTAGATTAATTCTGCTTTCCCAAAAGTGCTTTGGAAAAAAATATAAAAAGGTAGCTTTCACCAAGCAATATTTTTAAAAACAATTTCTGTATTAATGTTATACTTTCACTTGACAGTCCCCTCTCAGTGACCCTTTCATTTATTAAACAAAACTCAAAAGCAATAACAACCGAAAGTGTTGCTCAAGAGGGACTCTAAATGGTACGTATGTAGATTTTAATTAATAAGTAAAAATCTAACAAAAATGTTTTAGGAACAGAATTGTAGGCATTCACACACAGTAAGAACCAAGGAGGATACTCTTAGGAGAGAAACACAAAGGCACAATACCTATATGCCTCTGATAATATAAAATAATATTTATCTAAATGAATTCCAGGAAATGGAGTGAGGATTCTTCTTTGTTGCTGTTTTCATTTTCTTTTCTGTCTTGTTTGTTCATTTATCTGTCTTTGGTAGGGTTAGGGGAGGGAGTGGTACAGAAATAGAGGGACAAAGGATAAACAAATGCAGCAGTGGTTCTCACTAGAAACTATGTTGAAATGGAACTATACAACTTTTGGGTGTGGGTGGGAGGGAGAAACCGGGATACAGGGAGGGAAGGAGTGACATTGTCCAAAAAGACATGTATTCTTTACCTGACATATATAACAACTGTAACCCCTCTCTATATCACCCTTATAATAATTAAAAATAAATAAATGTTTTATGAAAAGCTTTTGGATTGTTATTTCACTGCTTTAGATTCATAAGCAAGCACTGTCATGTTTTAACAAAACCAGAACCAAAGCACAAACTACCACAGATTCTATGAGTAAAGCAAATTAGTGAGAAGAAAGGGGAACATTGGTAAAAGAGGTAATTGATAAAGAGGTAAATTGGAAAATATTAAGGTTGACTAGTTTTTCTTGTATTTAGTTTCTGGTTTATAGTAAATAAAAATTTGGTCATCTATACTTGATTATGATTTTCTTGTGGGCCTTATGAATCTAGGATTGGGAGGCAGGGATGGCTGACATAAAATGTCTAAGAAGGAAAGTTGCTGCCATTGGAAGAAAAATGTAACTGTTCTCTGTCTTCCATTCAGGTTCCATATTTTCCAAGTATAGCAAAGGTAATGACTTTTCATTCTAATATTTGTCCTCAAGGGAAATCAACTGAATAACTCATGCCAAACTTGTGGTTTTTCTTTTTTTTTTTTTGTCAGTCGTGGGGATTGAACTCTGGGCTTGGGCGCTGTCCCTCAGCTCTTCAGCTCAAGGCGAGCGCTCTGCTGCTTGAGTCACAGTGCCACTTCTGGTTTGCTGGTGGTTAATTGGAGATAAGAATCTCATGGACTTTCCTGTCCGGGCTGGCTTTGAACAGATATGCTCAGCTCTCAGCCTCCTGAGTAGCTAGGATTTCAGGCATGACCCACTGGCGCCCGACCCCAAAATTGTGGTTCTTATAAATCTTTGTAAAATGAAAGTACTGAAAGCTACCAAAATGCTTATGGTACCATAGCTAGAAAATAATGGTTACTTACAATGTTATTGTCTGCAAGTAATTTTCTGAGTCCGACAAAACTTTTAATATCAAACATATTTTTAAAATATGGACCTAGATTTATAAATGCTTTGTTTGAAAATTACATAGGAGTTGAATGGAAGTAGGGTATGGAAAAACCCTTCAGAAATCTAAAAAAAAAATCATGGTGCATTCATGAATACATTTACACTACAGCAATTATCTAAGTAGTTGTTCTAATGTGAACTAGCCATCATGGTAAATGTTAATTGTTTTGGTATGAGCCAGATCCATAAATCAGGTTGGTAGTTGGAGTTAAGTTGAAGATTTAGAGGCAAAGACAAAGCCAATTTTGTGATGAAAATCTAAACTATCAGAGTCACTGGAGATTTTATTAGGTAATATAATTGTTCTATAAGAGAAATCTCAGACTTACTACCCTAGAAATGCACTTATTACCTCACTTATATAACTGTAACCCCTCTATACATCACCTTGACAATAAAAAAAAATTAAAAAGGAATTTGTCTATCTTAAAAAAAAAGTCACAATTTACAAGGAACTAGAAGAAAATATTCAACACGGGATTCAACAGCAAAGAATAAGAGCCTTTCCATGTCTATTTCCATCAGCTTTTGAAAGATTTCCATATAAACACAGCTCCATATAAACACAAGTCCATATAAACACATTTCCATATAAACACAGCTCAATGGAAGCAAGCAAATATATACAACAATCCACTGCTCAGGTTAAAAGAAAGAGTAGCTCTATCCCCCTGCTGAATCTACTTTTAGACCTCTGAGATTTTTGCATGAACTTAGATATTTTGCATACATTACATTAGGATAACACTTATCTTGATTACTTTTGCTCCCCCTTAAATTATGTATCTGTCCTTCCCCAATAAGCTCTCAACAACCCCTCTTAGTTCCCTCTGCTAAGAATCAGAGACATGATGTTTATAATTACTTCTTTGCCTATTTTTAAAATTTATTAATTTTGATGTTGGAGATTCAGTACAAGGCCTTACTCAGGCCAAACAGGCCCTGTACCACTAAACTGAACTTCTAGTTCCACTGACTTGCTTCTGTAAAGAATGGTCACCTCTGCATGCGTTACTAATATGAACAAGTTTTGCAAGGTTTGAAACTATACATGTGTATTTTTGTGCATTCCTATCTACATTGTCATTTTCAGCAGTATTTTGACTATTTTATTGTAATAGGACAGTCTATTCTGTGAATAAACTTTTATTTACTATATTAGTTTTTAGATATTAGGGTTATATTTAGTTGGAGCTACTACAAATAACAGCTTATGAACACTTTAATATGTAAATTCTGGTACACAAAAGCATAATTTGTATGAGTGTGTATGTGTGTGAGTGTGTGTGTGCCAGTCCTGGGGCTTAAACTCAGGGCATACGTGCTGCCCTTCAGCTTTTTTGCTCAAGAGTAGTGCTCTACCACTTGAGCCACAAACTTTACTTCCATTTTTTTGGTGGTTAATTGGAGACTTCAGACCAAGATTCTCAGATCTCAGCTTCCTGAGTCAGTAGGATTACAGGTATGATTCACTGGTGCCTAGCTACAATTTTTAGGAGTACATAATTGCAAGTGAAAATGCTGATGAGTGTGCTGATTGTGACTATTATCAGCACCTATGTCCATTTTGCGTGAAATAAAATTACATATGAAATATTCATTAAAAAATTCAAAATGTTGCACTGTACAGACTCAGAGCTATCAATAACTTCCTATTGAAAAGGACAAAATTTTATACTCAAATACTAAGTAATGAGTCTGAAGTAGGATACAATTGTAGACCTTTCTGTATTGATTCACATCACGCTCATTCTGGAAGCAATGAGCGTTTCAGTGTGGAAGGACTGGCACATCAGGTCCAATAACAACAGCAGGTACATAGCTGCTGGTCCAAGTACACAATGCTGCCATCCTATAAGGCATTTCCAATATCATGCACCATGTTCTCTAGTTCATAGAAACTGACTAGTATAGTCAGTAGCTTAGCACAAAAGCATGACAGTAAGTTGTGTGAAGTGACTATGTTCCATTGTGGGGTAGATGTACCACTGCTTTTCAGTCCCAGACTATGTCTAAAGCAGAGCTTTCTTGTAACCATTTTTGTACACACTGTGTCCCGCAAAATGTTTAGTTCTTATGTGCTGAAAATTACCTGCCAAGTTAACTGAACTGAGAAAACTCTAGAGTGGTAGTGACTGGTTGGAAACTCACTCAATTTACAAGACTATAAATAGAAAAATTTTCAAAAATGTTTCATGGAAAAAAATGGGAATGCAAAATTTCATGGACATGTATCCACCTTAAAAAATAACCCCTGTTTTCACTGTATTTGATGTTGGTATAATTTGTGGATGGGAAGGGAAAAAACAAATTGCTTAAATAGGGATACAGGTGGACCCGTTGCAACAATGAGATGTACAAGTCGTTATGCCGAAAACGAACTTTACAACTTTGGCAGAGGGGGTGGGAGTGCCGTGGGGGCAGGGAGGAGATGGGAAGGGATGGGAAGGGGAAACAGAGGAGGAGGCTACAACGCTTGATAAGAAATGTACTCATTGTCTTGCCCATGTAATTGTAACCCCTCTGTATGGTATTTTCACAATAAAAAAATAAATACATAAAAACAATTGAAGATTAAAAAATAAAAACATGTCATGATCAGTCAAATATCAATTTCAATATTTAAAGCATACCAGATTTTTATGATGCCTGAAACCTAAATGCAGAGCCTACAAATATACAAAATTCTTTTTTTTAATTGTGAAAATACAGAGGGGTTATAATTACATGGGTAATTACATCTCCCAGCCTCCCCCCCCACCAAAGTTGTATAGTTCGTTTTTCAACATAACGATTTGTGTATCTCATTGTTGCAATGGGTCCACCTGTATCTCTATTTAAATGATTTGTTTTTTCCCTTCCCCTCCACAAATTATACCAACATCAAATACAGTGAAAGCAGGGGTTATACTGTGGGGGAGGGACATACAAAGCAACAAAGAAATCATCTTATAAATATGTTAGAAACAATCGCAAGAAAGAAAACAATATTTGAATATTTCACCTAACATCAACTTATCTGACCTTTTCTGCTTGTCTCAGGCAAATATACAAAATTCAAATCTAACCCACTGAATTGTTCCTTCCAATTTCCTTTCGTCCTGAAGCCATCCAATGTTTTGTCTTGATTATGTCCACACAGACAGCACCACCAAACTCTCTGGGAGAAGAATGACTGCCACTCACTCGCTATCAGCACATACAGGCAACTGGCTTGAGAAGCTCAGTGTGGGCAAAGGTGATGTGTTTGGAAGGCCTCGGCATGCCTTTCCCCTTTTTTCTTCCTTACACCAGATTTAATTTCTCTTGAACTCAATGTTTTGTTCAACAAATCTCTTAACTCTTCTTTAAATAGCTTCTCAAATGATAAGAGAAGGAATTCATGAATGAAATTTCTAGAGAGTGGAATAATGAGCACTTTTTTTTTTTGGGGGGGGGGGTCAGTTGTGGGTCCTGAACTCTGGGCCTGGGCGCTGTCCCTCAGCTCTTCAGCTGTAGACCAGCTCTCTACCACCTGAGCTTCAGCCTCACTTCCGGTTTTTTCTGCTTATGTGGTGCTGAGGAATCAAACTGAGGGTCTCATGCATGCAAGGCAAGCACTCTACCACTGAGCCACCTTCCCAGCCCCACTTTCTTTGTTTTTAACATCAGTGTTCAGGTGCTTTATAACAGGACAAAGGGGAATAAGGGAGGAGTCTAAAGCAATACAGACTGGGGATGGGGAAGTGTTGAAGTGTTGTTCAAAGGCACCTCTGTATCTCACCATTTTGTTGTTCCCCTTCCCTTCCTCAAGTCAGATAAACATATACACAAAGGCACTGAATACCAAAATCAAATACAGTGACAACAGGGGATAAACCAGAAAGAAAGAAAGAAAGAAAGAAAGAAAGAAAGAAAAAAAATAAGTAACTTCATACAGTACATTAAAAACAACAACAACAGAAAAAAACCTCTTGTTTCCATATCTTGGAGTTCCAGCAAACCAATATAACAGGGACACTCACAAGACAATATGTTGGAAATGAACTATACAATTTGGCAGGGGGGGGGAGGGAGAGAGGGGAATAGGGGGTTGGGAGGAAGGGAAAGTGGAAGAAAAACAAGGGAGGGGGTAACAATGTTCAGTGAGAGAAATGTATTCTCTACCTTATATATGTAACTATAAGCCCTCAATATATCACCTTGATAAATAAATAAATAAAGCCCCTTCTCTTGTTGCTTTCTTAAATCTCAGTAACAATCACTACACTACTGTGGCAGGGCATCATGAGGACTTGAGTTTCTGTGCTAGGTCTCATCTTCATTCTCAACATTATTTTCTACTTTTTTTTAAAAATTGAAGCTACAAAATTCGCCTATATCTGGTAGCAGTTACTTTGGTCTCTGAAGGAACCTCTAGGTTCCTGCTACCAAAACTCCATCATTTCTGAATTAGGAAGGAATTTTCAAAGAAATCTTTCTTATGGGTTAACATGTTTTTAAAAAAATAAGAGTATATATACATATATATGTATACATATATACTTGTGTGTATATATATGCACATATGTATATAATATAACTATATATAAAACTATAATTTTATAGTTAGAGAGTTATAATTTTATATATATAATTATAAAATACTGAAGCATAGACATATTCTACACCTGGCTCATGTTGTGGAAAACAGAAAACAGACCTGACATATTTTTAATTATGTGTAAGACTCTGGATTCTTTCAGTATGTACTTCCAAATTGATTCCTAACATAAAGGAATATCTTGTGGCAGGTTCCCTATTCAGATTTAAATGCTACAAAGAAAAAGAAAAAGTTCCCTAAGTATTAGTTTGACAACATCACAAATAAACCTACGGTCACCCATCTGATAACAGAAACTTACTCTTTTCAGCTTGGCAGCAGCCTCTCCAGAACGAATTGCAGTCAGCAAGCTTTGTCGGATCTGTTCTGGGTCAGAGCTTTGGAATGTTAAAGAACTTTGTCTCTTAAGGGTGAACGAAGGGCAGTCAGTTGGAGTTGATACTTGAGAGTTGGGCTCACTGTATGTAGAGTTATTTTGCTACAGAAATAAATGCAAAATATCTATGTAAATTCCAAGAGAAGAATAGGCCATTTTTGTAAAAAAAAATTTTTTTTCATCCTCAGTAATTCCTTAAGAACCATCATTTGGCATACTGGTGATTAGACCAACTCTGTTACTTGTCACTCATTATCTTTGCTGTCACAGCCAGGCTGGAGGATGAGGGATTTGCCATCTTTCCCCTTAAGTCAGGAAGAGAAATAGAATCTCTCCATTTCATAAATACATTTTTTACCGTGCTTTAGTTAAATAATTCTAACTTTTATGAATACACAGATTTAGGTAGAAGAGCCAAATTAATAATCAAAAATCCCACAAACTGAAGAATTACCAACTTGTATGGTTTCAAGATAATAGGCTTGGAAATAACTATTTTTGAATGTACAGAATAATAAAGTTCTGACAATTTCAAATTACTTCAATCTAGCCTACCTTCTAATAAAGGACTGTATTCATTCCACTACATCTCATAGTTTATTGGGAAATAACAAGAACTCCTTACTATTGCTTTTTCTCATGAGACTAAAAATAAACAGGCTGGGAAGGTGGCTCAGTGGTAGAGCGCTTGCCTTGAGCTGAAGAGCTGAGGGACAGTGCCCAGGCCCAGAGTTCAGGCCCCATGACCGGGCCCCCAAAAAAAAAAAAAAAAAAAAAGAATGACTAAAATTTTAAATTAATTCAGCCTAACTTCTCTGTGTGTGTGTGTGCACGCACTAGTACTGAAACTTGAACTTAGGGCTTGAGTGCAGTCTATTTAGCTTTCTCCACTCAAGGATATTCTACCCCTCGAGCCAATAAGAGTCTTATGGATTTTCCTGCCTAGCTGGTTTCAAATCTTGATCCTCAGATCTTAGCCTCCTGAGTGACTTGGATTTCAGGAGTGAGCCATCAGTACCATACAAATTTAGTCAAACTTCTTAAGAAGGACTCTTTAGTGACTGCTCTATCTGGCAAGAGTTACATCAAGTAATCTTAAAAGTGGGCTAAGAATGTAGCTAAGTTGTAGAGTACTTGCCTAGCATAGGCAATGCCTATAATAAAAGCTCAGTTCAATCCCAGAATTGTAAAAAAAGCAAGCCTTTTTCAAATTGCCCATATATGTAACTTTATTCAAAAAAAGAGTTTAGAGCTCATAAGGACTCAAGCAATGACGTAAAAACTACATCATCTAAATCAAACTTCTATTATTTAAGAATGGTAATCCATTCTAAGAAAAAAATGCAGCCTGGCTCTGGTCGCTCACATCTGTAACCCCAACTTCTCAGGAGAGATCTAAGGATCAAGGTTCAAAGTCAGCCCAGGCAGGAAGGTCTGTGACATTCATATCTCCAATAAACTACTCAGAGAAAGCTGGAAGTGGTGTGGTGGCTCAAGTTGTAGAGCTCTAGCCATGAGTAAAAAGAAGCTAACAGACAGTGTGCAGGCCTTGAGTTCAAGTCCAAGACCAGCAAAAAAGAAGGAAAGAAAGAAAGAAGGAAGGAAGGAAGAAAGGAAGGAAGGAAGGAAGGGAGAAGGTGAGGGAGAGAGAAGGGGAGGGAGAGAGAAGAGGAGGGAGGGAAGGAAGGAAGGAAGGAAGGAAGGAAGGAAGGAAGGAAGGAACGAAGGAAGGAAGGAAGCAAGGAAGGAAGGAAGGAAGGAAGGAAGGAAGGAAGGAAGGAAGGAAGGAAGGAAGGAAGGAAGGAAGGAAGGAAGGAAGGAAAAAAGGAAGGAAGGAAGGAAGGAAGGAAAAGAATGAATAAAGAAAAGAAAGAGATAACGAAGTATGATTCATGTTTTCTCACTCTAGGAATGTTTGAGAAAGTATAAGTATTTCTGAAACTGTCACACAAATATGAATCTATTATTTAAACAAAATCGAAGTATAAGTATATACAAGGTATTTTTTAAAATTGCTTGTGGGTTTCATCCTCTCCTTGGATTATACTAATCTACACCTGGTAAAATGCACCACTTGGTTGACAAAACACCAAGTGCACACAGTGCACTTTCTGCAAAGTTGAGGTAGTGGATAGATGGTGTTCTAGTTTAGTTCTTTTTGGAAAAAAAACCCACTAAATTAACAAAACGAAGGATTAAGAAAATTATTTTAATAATGCTTTCAACTTAGCTACATTTAAAAATTGTTGGTAAGTTGAGGTTGAATGTACATGATGGAAGATGCATGCCTGAGATATATAATGTTGAAAATCTGGTCTTAGATACCATTAACATTTCATATGAATGAAATTACTTGTTTGACTATGACATACTATAAAATTGGAAGAAGAAAAATGTAAACCAAAATAATCCAGAATTAAAAACAAATCAACAAAACACTGCGTTTTAACCAAGTTGCACTTGGTTAAAAGTTAACCAATATATACTTATATTTTAGAAAGGTAGTCATTACCTTATCACTCCCATCAGGTTGTGGAATGTCTGTAGCCTTATTTGCAAAAATCTTCCTGTCTTCTATGTCAGTTGGAGACTGGGCACACATCCTCTCCCTGGAGGTCTCAGGGCGTGTCTTACTGAAAGACTGTGACCTTTTCACTACAGCCAGGGCAAAGGGTGAAGGAGCAGAACTTGAGTATGGCCGTGGGGCACCGAAAGTTTTCAAAGTCTTCAGATTCAGTGATGCTGCCTGACCAGCAGGAAGAGACACAGGTTTGGGAGCTATGGGAGGCGGGGAGGTTTCAACAGGAAGCAACACTGGTTTGGGAGCTGTGGGTGGTGGAGAGGGACCTGCAGGCTTCTGTCTGATGATGTCATCATCTGTTTGTGTAAAATGCTGCCCTGGAGCAGAGGGAATTGTTTTACTCAGGGGAGAAAGCCTCGGTTCTGATGGAGGCGGTACATCCTTTTCCATCTCTTTACTTGTTAGCTCTTTGATGCTGGAGGTAGGAGTAGGGACAGTATGGACACTCTTAGCAGCTGCAGATGTGACATAATGACCTGATACTCTCTTCTGCATCTGCAAGAAAAATGAACTTGGTTTGGCCTGGGGATTTGAAACCCGAGATTTAAATTTTGACTCCAAGATATTGTTTATATCTTCCAAATTTGGTGCAAAAGCAGCTGTGCATATGTCTCTGGTTATTCTGGGAGGTTTCAGAGGACTGCTTGTGGTACTCTCTGGTGAGCTCACTGCCCTGTGCAACTGATGCTCTGTCCTCAAGCTTGATTGTGGCTTGAGGTCTAGCAGGGGTTCCTTGGAGCCCTCAGGAATGACAAGGTCTTCTGTTTGCATGTAAGTTTCTTTCACATTCTCATAAGTGGGCTTTTGTCCAAAAGCATGTACCTTTTGGTCATCTTTATATCCTATAGTTTCCGATTCCCCGTCTTTCAATATATCCAGGGATTTGGGAGGCACTATTTTATAAGTAGTCATTCCAATTTTGGGTATGTATTCTCTTGTAATTTCATTTGAAGGTTTGGGCTTGGGATTATAGTCCGGTCTGTAAAGTGGAAAATTCTTTGGGTGAGAAGCAGTTGCATTTTTATCACTTCCATCTGTAGGAGACAAAAGATGATCCCTCCCTTGTACACACACTGGGTTTTTCATGGAAAGTCTATCTTCTGAATGTATTAGAATGCTCTGACTCCTGTAACCTTTTGAGGTATCCAGAGAATCTTGTAGACTTGGGAAAGAGTGTTGAGTTGATTTGTCATTTGAAGTTTGCACACTTTCATCAGTCTTGAAGTCAAACAAATTATGATCTTGGTGACTCTCATTCAAACTGTTACAGGAAGATGCTGTTTGAATTGCTACATCTTGCATTTTTGTCTTCTCTTCATCAGGTTGACTCAGTGCTTGGTCTGGTACTGATGTTGCTGCTAGGTGATTTTCCTTGGAACTTAGAGCATCATTAACCTTTATGTCCACGCCTGTATTTTTTGCTTCACCTTCTACATTGACTTCTGTTCTTTTCACTCTGGTTATCATATTATCTTCTGGTTTGTTGTAGACAATGATTTCATTTTTGAAATAAAGATAAAGGAGAAATAAATATTGTCACATTTATAGAAAAAAGTAGGAAACCTCAAGATTTCAATATCTGTTTTCAATATCTGCTACAGATAATTTTCAATTCAATAGTTATACAAAGGCAGGCATGGGCTATACACACATAAAAGACTAAGTATGGAACCCATTTAAGTAGTATAGCCTCATGTTTATTAACAAGCCCTTTGCACCTGATTGTTCTCAGATGTAAAAAGGTAAAGGTGTGTTTTAAATTGAATACAATTTGTATGACTCTCTTAGGAGAGGGCACTGCCTAAAACAAATATAGAAGGCACCTATGTTTCTTATAAGACTTCATTTTTAGCAAGCAAAGAAATTGACAAATTCAAAAATAGTATTTTCCCTTTTTTTCTGTGCAGACATATTTCTATAATCCCTAGTATGTTTATATTTCATGTCTAACACTAAAACAATCTTAGCAAATATTGCTGGTTTTAATTAGGACAGGCTCCTGAAAACATTATTTTTCAAGATTTGAAATGGAAAAATCTAAATGGATGGTTTTGTTAATTGGGTGATCTTGCTGAACACTTTAGCCATGAGATGGGTGATTTTAAGTACATGAGAACAATCATGTTGGTTCTTATTTTCTTCTGTGAGAAAGAAGACTATCTCATTCTTCCAGAGTCAATGGGCAAGGAGGCAAACAACCCCTCTTGTCCCCCTCTCTCCTGTATGACTTTTTCTCTAAAAATTATTTTCAGTATCTGTGTTAATAAAACAACAGCTTCTTGTCAACGAGATGGCAAAGAGGTAAAATTTGAAAGTGTGTTAGTATAATGAATATATGTCATGTGCATGAAGTGTTTTACATACTTTCTCCTCTATGAAATTGCCCCGAGTAAACACTTCTGCATGAAAACTAATCCTCCTCTTCAAAGCCCTAAATAGCCTCCCTTTTCAGATAGGAGAAGTTTATACAAAATAGTGAATTGTCAGTTTTAGTCAAAAAATAAAAAGATGTCAAGTATTTCTCTATGGTTTTGTCATTGACAAATGTTACTTAAAGAGAATACCCCTTTGTACTATTAAGGATAATTAAAACTTTTTATATTTCAAAGAATACCACATCAGCTGCACTGCTTAAAATAGAATGAATCAGACAAGAGTTCTTGTATCTCAAGAATAATCGATATCCATATCAAAAAGTCATATCATGTAAACTGTATATAAAGTTTTAAAATGCATTCACATTTTATACTTTGTCTAATTATACAATTATTTGTTCATGGAAATTTATAGTACATATTAATTTTTAATCTGGGCTTTAATTTTATCTTTCTAAATAAAATGCAACTGGTCATTAGCCAGATTTTCATTTCCCTATTTTCAATGGGTTATTACATCTTAATCATTGTCTAACTCTGAATTTCTCCAACATTTCACTATTATTCCCCACTATTGCCAGACTGGGGAATCTAGGCTTAATCACTGACCTTATTAGCAGCTTGTCCATCTTCAATATCTGACAATGATGTTCAACAAGTGCCTATGAACCACTAGTTCATTTTCCAAGGAAAGCCAGGAGAGGGAGGGGGTAGCTTTTGAACTATCCTGTCTCTCCTTTACTTAAACACTGATATGGCACTTCAAAGAAAAAATGGTTTAGCTAGTTCCATATAATAGATATAAGAAGAAATATAAGAAAACTACTTTAAAGGTAAGAAACTATTTTAAACATAGGCTACATGTTGATAAACATCATTACAAAACAGGTGTAAATCAAAAAAATACTACATAAATGTCCTTTTAAAGCCAGTACTGATCTGATGTCAAAAATCTTAGCAAAATAGTTTATTATTACTAAAGAAAGGTAGCTTTTAATGATTTTTCAATATGAATACTATTGTTATCATGGTATATGTAGTGCAAACTGAATCAAGAAGAAAAGAATGTGTTGTGTCCTGCCTCAAGAGGTAGAGTGTCCAGCCGGGCACTGGTGGCTCACGCCTGTAATCCTAGCTACTCAGGAGGCTGAGATCTGAGGATTGCGGTTCAAAGCCAGCCCGGGCAGGAGAGACCATGAGACTCCTATCTCCAATAAACCACCAGAAACCCGGAAGTGGTAGAGCACTCGCCTTGAGCTGAAGAGCTGAGGGTCAGCGCCCAGGCCCAGAGTTCAAGCCCCATGACCGACCAAAAAAAAAAAAAAAAAAAAAGAGGTAGAGTGTCTATCTAGCAAGCATGAGGCCTTGAGTTCAAGCTTCACTACTACCAAGAAAAAAAAGAGAAAAATAATTTATCTTTAAAACTTCTCAGAGTAGTATCATACAATTGTATTGAAAGCAGGGAAAATAAATCATAAGGATATATATACATATAAATACATGTATATACATAACTCCTATCCATACGTATAAACCTACAAAACTCTATAGCAAGATACATGGATAAATTAGATATATGTGTATATGTCTGTATTTGTGTATATTTGAATGTATGTATATATGTAGTCATTGGTACTATTTCTTGTATATATAAGAATATTATAGCCCTGTGTTTTCTACAAGTTTTTAGTATTGTATAGTAATGTAAACAGGATTATTAGCATTCAAATGCCACTTCCTTCTTATTGCTTTAAAATATACCAAAGTGTATTACTTGAATTTTCTACAGTGCACTTAAGAGACAAATTCAATCCTGTGTATATTATACTAAATATTCTAGTACTCATTTTGTATTATGAGGATTTTACATAAAGTATTTTCTGTGATTCAAAACTGTCCAATTCAGCTGAAGAATAAGAGATGTTAAACTAAATGACTGCTAGTAATGAAGTAGCAAAACAAATATAGTGGGATCTGGATAAAAATGAATGGGTAAAGTAGATGGAAAATTATATTCTACACAGACACAGGTATAGCATAAATTACATCATCAGGAAAAAAGATGCTGTCCTGATTCATTCATGAAAAGTGGAAATCAGTGGTAAATATGGATACATAATCTGGCAATTTATGTCTTGAAAATCAGGTAAACAAGTTTAATTCCAAACATAGCAATTTGACTATGGAATAACACAATCTTGCAGTAGGGAATTAGAAGCGAAAGAGAAAAGGAAAGAGAAGGGAAGGGAAGAGAACGAGATCACAAAGAGATGTACAACTTTAAGGTCCAAAATTCCACTTTTATAACCTCAAGATTAAACAACAGCAGAAGTAGTATACAAGATAGCTAAGAGCATCCTTTGTGATATTGCCTGATTTCAAGCCCTAGTTCTACCATTTACTGTTTGTGAGATTTAATATGTTTGTGACTCAACCATCTGTAATAACAACATATCCCATACCACTCATAAATGCAGCAGACATGGAGCAAATACACAAGATTAAATGAATTAAGATGTGTTAAGAACAGCCCTTTGGTACAACATCTGGTATATTAGGAAAATGTTGGTTCTTAGCATTTCTATAACTCACCAATCTTTTGGTTTGGGCTATGGCCAGCTACAGGGTCTTCGTTGTTGTTATCATGTGCAGCATTGTGTTGTCCTCTGGAAGATATGATATTGTGTTACATATATACATATATGTGTATATGTATTTATATGTCATATATGTTATATATTCAAAGACATACACACCATAAAAACAGTCCATAATTTTCAAAGATAGATGAGCTAAATATCCTTTTTTATTTCAGCTAAATACTGGAAATTTAATAGCTAAGAAAAACAGAACTGAGAGGAAATGCTGCTACAAAACATGAGCTTTCATACAGTTGTCTTATTACAAAGAAAACTATGAGAAGCTTGGTAAAATAGGCCTTTCCAAAATGGCAGTTTTATTCTTTTTATTACTGGCTATTTGTTTTTAAAGAAAATGGAAATTAAGCACACATTTCAGCATTACATATGTCAAAGTCAACCAAATAAATCAAGATGTAGATTGACCATATTGATTTATCTTCTGATGATACAACAGTTTAAGTTGGAAAAAATCCCATGCAAATTATGGTAAATTCTGATGACAATGGTTTATTTTGCTTGGATGACTTTGGCTTTATTCATGGTGCTGCCTGTCACACCAAAGTAGACTAAAGAAGCTTTCCATTCTTGGGATCAAATGGAAAGTGCATTCTCTACATAATAAAGTTGGCTGGGGAAACAATGGGAATTTAACATCATACTCTCATATGCAGAACTGTTTTCATATGCCAGTCAGGGAAAATATTTCAGGTGTATTTCCTGAAAACTGGAAACTGGATGTATCATTTAGATCAAATAATGGGTAAAATACACATACAAACTAAAACTTTAATTTCTGACTTGTGTAAATTAACTACATTTTAAGGGTTATTGAACACAGGGAAATCAGAACTGAATTTGCTTTTTTTTTAAACACAATTACATGCGAATAGATACTTAATAAATAAATAAGGGGGTGCAGTCTAAGCAAAAGGGCCAATTCTGTTTAAAATTTCAGATCCACATTGCAAAAGAATAGTGTTAACTAAATAAACTGTCAGCAACTGTTCTAGTACACAAGCTACTTACTGCCCATCTGTAGTTCTAGTTTCTTGGGCTTTGTTCTTGACGTTTTGTGAGGCCTGTCCACTACCAGTGCCAAGGGCTGAGTAGAGATCATTTTTCAACATATTTACTGTGGTAGTAGATGACAAAGGAACACTGAGTGACTTCAGGGAAGTATTTTCAGACAGATCCTCAGGCACTTCGTTCAGTTCTTCCTTTTCATCTATCTCTTCAAGACTATAATCAGAGCTTATTCCAGCTACAAAACAATATAGATATGATAACTTTAATTTGACTCACCCAATATAATCTTATTAAGAGGTATTTAATATGTAGCTTTGGTTCTTAAAAATCTGATTCTGATTCTTGATAGTGAAATATTTTACCAATGGTGAACAAACATGTTCGCATACACTCTCTTAGAATCACACAATTCTTAAAATTCTTAAAAAGAATGTGCTATCAATCTACATATGATTCAGGAAAGGTTACTTAATCTCATAAGTTTCAAATGACTTCATTTAGAAATATAATTTTCAGCAGGGGACAAACAATGCTTGATAGGAAATGTACTCATGACCTTGCTCATGTAACTGTAACCCCTCTGTACAGTATTCTTACAATAAAAAACATTTTTAAAAAAGAAATAAAAAATATAACTTTCAATGAAATGATTTTATAAACATGTAGTAACAATGAAACTGATATAAAAGTAAATCAACTTAAATATGCAACCTAAAAGAATATGAGACTTTCACTGGACATCAGTGACTCACACCTGTAATCCTAGCTACCCAGGAGGCTGAGATCTGATGATCATGGTTCAAAGTCAGCCTGGGTAGGAAAGTCTGTGAGACTCTTTTTTTTTTTTTTTTGGTCGGTCGTGGGGCTTGAACTCTGGGCCCGGGCACTGTCCCTAGCTCTTTAGCTCAAGGCTAATGCTCTACCAATTGAGCCACAACAGCACTTCCATTTTCTGGTGGTTTATTGGAGATAAAAGTATCATCGACTTTCATGGCGGGTCTAGGTTTGAACTGCGATCCTCAGATCTCAGCCACCTCAGTAGCTAGGATTACAAGAATGAGCCACTGATGCCTGGTTCTGTGAGATTCTGATCTCCAATAAACCACCAGAAAACTGGAAGTGGTGGTGTGGCTCAGGTTGTAGAGCACTTGCGTTGAGCTGAAGAGCTGAGGGACAGCACCCAGGCACAAAGTTCAAGCTCCATGACTGATTAAAAAAGAAAAGAAAAGAATATGAGACCACAATGGCACCTAAACTTTGACTAAATGGTTATCAGCATTGCCTAAACCTCTAGGAAAGTTACTAATGCATATACACTACTCCAAAGTTGTCAAAGCTAAAGGTTATTAGGTGATTATAACATGTAACTAGAATTAATGTCTATTGATCCTAATGCTGTGTGTGTGTGTGTGTGTGTGTGTGAGAGAGAGAGAGAGAGAGAGAGAGAGAGAGAGAGAGAGAGAGAGAGAGAGTGTGTGTGTGTGTGTGTGTGTGTGTTTTTTGCTGGTCCTAGGGCTTGAACTTAGGGCCTGAGTGCTATCCTTAAACTTTTGTGCTACAGGCTAGTGCTCTGGCACTTGGGTCCCAGATCCGCTTCTGCCTTTTTGGCGGGTATTTGAAGATAAGCCTCTCACTGACTTTCTTGCCAGGATTGGCTTTAGACCATGGTCTTAGGATTTCAGTTACCAGTTAGTGGCAAATAGCCATAATTTACTTTTGGTAAAATAGAACAAGTATTAAACAATGAGAATTGTAATTCCAACACACTATTGATTTTTGTTGCTGTTGTTTTGTGAGATAGGGTATTAATAGCCTTGACTGGCCTTAAACTTGATTTTCCTGCCTCAACTCCATAAGGCTGGGATTGTAGGTTTATCTCCTCATCCATCTTGATTCTCAGAAGCAGCTTCCTTCAACACTGTTTTCCTATACAGTATTGGGAAGCATACATGAGCAAGTATACATATTCATATTCCTTTTTCATTTTATTAATTTATCTTCTATAAATGAAAATGCCCAGTGTTTTTATGTAGTTTTTTCTCCATTTACTACATCTTAAATATCATCCTTATTAATGCAGGCATGTATATATACTTTTAACAGTTATAGTCAATATTCCATTGAACAAAAATGTTCTCTATATTATTTTGTAGTAACAACAACCAACAGCTAAGGTAGAATAAGAGCACTCTAAGTAGTCACTACCCAACTTACTGTCAAGAAGTATATTTAAAAATTATTAAAAAATAATTTGAATGTAAAATTAGTGAAAAATTTTTATACATTCCTATTTTACATAATTTGAATATTTTATATTACTTTTCTTTCAGTCCCTCTGGGGATAGTAAACATTTGCTAAAGGAAAACATAAAAATTATTTGAAATTTATGAAAATAAAATTAATGACAAGAAATGTAACTAAACTTTTAAAAATGTTTTCTAATTCTGTCACATTTTTACCAATGAATCTTTAAAGCTTAACACTTTACTTTCAGACACCTTATATCTACTTTCTGGTGTTTATCAAAATCGGAAATTGCTTGGCAAATACTATTTCTTTGCTAAATTATAATTAGAGTAAAGGAATACTATTTGAATATATTATATTTCCTACTTTTTCCATTCATTCAAATGATGCTCACTGTGTTGGTGCATTGTATCTGCTGACAGTGTTCTTTCACCATTGGCAATTTACTGAATTTTCTTTCAGTAAAATTCATCACTTTTGAAACACAGTTCTTTTGAATTTTGACAGAGTATACAACGATGTAACTACCTTCATCATCACTACATAGAAGGTTACATCCAAGACATAAATCCTCCACACTTGTTTATAATCTGTCTCTTCCCTCAGCTTATAGAAATGATTATCCCCAGTTTCCTATTTGCAAAAATTCCATAAATATAAGCACACAATATCTAGAGACTTGAGGCTGGCTTTGTTATTTAAATGTTTTGCTGTAAGGGTTCCATTCATTTTCATGGCTAGGCAGCAATAATGTATTCCAACATATAGACAGCCATAGTTTGCTCCTCAAGGTTATGGACATTTGGATTACTTCCCATTTGGGACAATTACAATTATAAACTCCATAGCATGTTCATAGGTTTTTATAGAAACTTAAGCATGGTGGCAGGACTAGAGCTTATACAGAATATGAGTAAGCAAGGGGTTGTTAAATAATGAGTGTAATTTATATATATTATAGATATTTATGAAAAATGATAAAGTTCAAACACATCCCTCAAAAAAGTAGAAGGCTAAATTCAAAAGAAGGTGAAATCCTTCAGAACCACTAATTAATTCATCTTACACTTTGTCACATTCATTGGGAAGGGCAAGGAAAACAGAAAATTCCCAATCTAGACAAAATTTCAAGTGAAGAAGGAGAATACTATTTTTTACAAAACATTTTACCAAGGGGATTATTTAACAAGTAACCCAATCTTAGTCTGCATAAACTAAAGCACAGCCAGGAAAGGTTCAACTACATACATGTTAAAGATGCCACCGCTCCCTCAGGTGTTCCTGGACCCTCGGAGAGAGAGGTTTCATCTGTCAGTTTGGGCAGAGTACAGTGTTCATGACTGAGGAGCCCACTGCCAAGGGAGGCTTCTGCCAAACAAGGAGACTCCGTAGAAATGGCACCTAGACAACAAAGTTAATGCAAATCGAGACCAAGAAGCACTTTGGAAGAAATCAGATTTGTTAGCTAACTATTATCTGTACAAGAAGTATGAAGAGATAAAAGGGAAGGGAGGGGGACAGTAGGGGGTAGCTAATGAATATGAAGCACAGTTTGACTAGCCTATACAAATTTTTCTATTTTTTTTATTTGCCAGTCTTGAGACTTGAACTCAGGACCTGGACACTGTCACTGAGCTTCTTTTTGCTCAAGGCTAGTACTCTACCACTTGAATCGGAGTGCTACTTCTGGCTCTTCTGTTTATGTGGTACTGAAGAATCAAACCCAGGACTTCATGCATGCTAGGCAAGCACTCTACCCCTAAGTCACATTCCAAGTCACATTTTTTCAAATACTTCAGAATCCTCTCATTTTACTCCATATTTTAAGGTGTTAACATTACTTAATAATTTCCTTTGTGGAATAAGATGGTATTATTGATAGCATTCAGAGAAAAATCCCTATACGTGATATCAGAGTTATATGCAAAATGGCAGTAGAGTTAAGAATTCTTATAGGTGTTAAAATTCCAAATTCTTAAAGACCATATAAAATTCAAGATTCAAGGACAGGGATGGGATAGGGATTGCAGCTTGATGGTGAAGTTGTTTGCCTAACGGGAGAGACCTGAAGGTTCATTCTAAGCTGTATAAAAGCAAAACAAAGTTTATTTGATTCTGAACTCTCTCTAGCATTGTGAACATAAATGTTAAAATTGATAGTAAAACAAAGTTGCATCAAACAAATCTCATACTCATTCAATTGTCACCATGCTCAAGTGCTAGCTTAGATATATTATTTTTCTATATCACTAGTTTGTCACATTCATTTAGGTCTAACATTAAACAAAAAACTGAAACAATGGAAACAGTATAAGACAAAACTACTTTTGTTACTAGAATTGTATTTGGGAAGAATACAAAACAAGAGTTATAAAATAGAGGGTTTTTTTCATAGCAACATGTTTTTTATTATTAGAGTAAGATACCTTATATGTTGAATTCATACCTGAACAATAGCTTAAAGAAACTATGCTTACACTTATACATAAATACTCTTCTAAATACATCAAGCTATGTTCCTAAGGAGGCTAATAAATGTCAATCTGCCATCGCCTAAAAAAAGCAGGAGATCAAATAGGGAAAACACCCAAGATACAATTCCAGAAGTGAAATTTTCATCTTTGCCAGTTTTATACTCTAATCTCTAATCCTAGTGAGGATTTCTGGACAAATTTTGGAAAATGAGGGCAAACGACCCGTTATCGCTTTCATATACAGGACATTTTAACTAGCTAAGTTTCTCAATTGTCTCAGAAGGTTTTCTTGAATAAGCATATAGTATGAGGTTAAGGTGTCATACCTGGGCTGTTCAGTGGCTCAGGAGAGTTTGCTTTGAAAACACTGTGTGGAGGAACTCCATCCACTGACTTGGGAGCTGAGAGAAAGAAGCAAGGCTAACTTAAACACAAGTCAACTTGCACATGAAACATTTAACACATGTAACCTTGTATATAATTCAAAAAGAGATTAATTATACAACTTTACTACATAGTCCTTTTACCATCCAGCTGTGAAAGGACTAAGTTTCATTTAATTACCTCCAACATGTAGCCAATCCTGAAATGACAGTATCTTTCTAAGAAAATTTCACACATTATAATCTGCTCATTGTGAAGTAATGAAGCCGTTCAATGTTGTCATTTTATTATATATTTCAGATTTATAAAAGAAGCAGTTAAGTGAGAATAATCAGGACAATTTTTAAAGACTAAGCATCATTATTTAATATAAAGACATAATACAAATATATCGATAGTACAAAGTGAAATGCAAATATAATGGTAGGGGGGAAAGTCTCATTACCAGTCACATGGCCATCTTCATCACTGTGATGCAGGGGTAGTTTGGAGGGTGGAGATGGTGCTTTCCGCTTTGTCCTTTTCAAAGAGGAATTCCCTGTGGATGTGTGGCTGAGCTGCAGTGAGCCAGTCCTCACTATGCCTGCTTCATGGGGACTCTGCAGGAAACAAAACAACCAAACACAATCCCATGTTTAGAAGTTAACTCAGAAAAACTAGGGCCCCTAGTTACAGGTTGAAACTTCCTATGTAAAGATACAGAATCACAACAAATCAAAGATTCAATAAATAGGATTGTAACCAACTGAAGAGTTTCTGCATGCCAAAGAATATGGCTATCAAGACAAATAGAAAGACCATAGAATGGAAGATTTTTATTAGCTATGCATCAAACTACCTATGTATATGAAAAATTTACTTCAAACTCAAAAAGTTAACCCTCCCCAAATAAAACTTCAATGAAACAACAACCCAATTAAAGAATGAGCTAAAGACTTCAAGAGAGACTTCTCAGAAGAAATAGCCAATAGACACACAGAGAAACGTTTACCAAAATGGAACAACAATTCATTTAAAAAATTGTGGAGTAAGTGTCATGTGCAGGAAGAAGGTGCTAGGACAGGAATGGAAAGAAATGTAAAATACATATGCTCCTTCTCAAGAAACCTAGGCTCGGATGGAGGACTGGAGTGCAAATAATGAACTGTAGTGTAGCTTCTAAGCAAAACAAACTTTAACACAAAAATTGATAAGAAATGTACTCATTATCTTGCTCATGTAATTGTAACCCCTTTGTACAGTATTTTCAAAATAATAAAATAATTAAAGAAAAGGATGAATATAGGAAGACTTTTAGTCCCTTGAAAGGGGCCTAATTAATCTATCTTCTTTTAGTACCAATATATCAGTGAAGAACATTTTGAAAATCTTCCTTTCTAGCCAAAGGAAGGTCTTTTGAGGTTACCAAACACAAAGTTACAAGCACGCAGCAGGTGACTGTCAGCAGACCCTAGGACAATCCTGCCCCAGCAGGCTGCCTGATGCCTCCTGGCTTAGTTTCACGCCATCTTTGCTCCTGCTTTTTACAAGCAAACTGCTTAAGAGGGGTGTGTTAGGAAATGGAAAGACTTGGAAAAAATTATATATGAAGTGAAGTAAGCCAGGCCCAAAGAAACATAGGTCCCATGATTTCCCTTATTTGCAATAACTAGTATATGTCTGGGACAAGTAGAAAAGGTCAAAAGCTATGTACATATGACCAGATAAGATGAAGTTAAGTGAAATGAACCCCAAGATAGGGACACAAGTGTTTTTTTTTTCTTTCTGGCTATTATTATAAGGTACCATGTAATTTTTTTGTTGCTTTGTATGTTTCTCCCCCACAGTATAACCCGTTTTCACTGTATTTGATGTCAGTATAATTTGGGGAGAGGAAGGGAAAAAACAAAATGTTTAAATAGGGATGGATACAGGTTGACCCATTGTAACAATGAGATGTACAAGACACTATGTCGAAAAACGAACTTTACAATTTAGGTGGGGGAGAGGGTGGTGGTGGTGGTGGTGGAGGGAATGTAGTTGTGGAGGTGGGAGGGAAGGGATGGTAGGGAAAAAAATAAAGGCAACAATGCTTATTGATAAGAAATGCACTCACTACCTTGCTCATGTAACTGTAACCCTCTGCACAGTATTTTCACAATAAAAAACTTTAAAAAAAGAGGTGTGCATAGTAGTTTGTTTCTTCAATTTTTCATTTCCCATTTGAATCCCTCTAATTATCTGTTCTCAACTCCAGTTCTATAAAACTTTTCCTATTCAAGTCACCAGTGACCTTGACCAAAAAGAGATCAGTGGCCAACTAAGCCCAGTCAATTGCCTTGCTAAAATGCTTTTTCTTACTTCCAGACAACTACAGTCCTTACTCTCCATGTATCCACACTGTCTAAATACTCTGCTATATTTGTTGAATGCTTTTAACTCCTTACCAACATTAGTGTGACTTTGAGCTCAATTCTGAGACATATTTTCATTAGTATCTACACTCACTCTCCTAGTAATCTAATCGCTCCTTTTATTTTTAAGTATTACTTGTATGCTGGTGAATTTTACATGATTGTTTCTATGCTGGACCTTCATTCTGATATTTACTTAATATTTAAGACCAAGCCAAGCTAGCATTTCTAAAACTGAGCTCTTGGCAATCCCATTTTTCCTCCTGCCTTTCCACCTTATATCCTATGTACGTTAGCAAAAACTTGACCTCTCCCCTCCCCGCACAGCTTGTACTGAGTTCAACCTGTTCATTATTAGTTTATTTTAATTTTTAATTTAAAAAATTATTTATTTATTTTTTTGCCAGTCATGGGGCCTGAACTCTGGCCCTGGGCGTCATCCCTCAATTCTTCAGCTCAAGGCTAGCACTCTACCACTTGAGCCATGGTGCCACATCTGGCTTTTTCTGCTTAAGTGGTGCTGAGGAATTGAACACAGGGCCTCATGCATGCAAGATAAGCACTCTATCACTGAGCTACCTTCCCAGCCCATCATTATTCCTTTAAAAGGCATGTAGAACCCATATTGTATGTGGTGATGCATTCCTGTAATCCCATTATTCAGGAGACTGAAGTGAATTCAAAGCCAATGTGGGCTCTCTAAGGAGATTTCTTTGTAATAAGAATATTCAAAAGCAACCAAATAAATAAATATTAAATTGAAAAAAACTTTAAAGATGCCAAAAATAAACACATACACACAAAAACATCTAACACCAGCCAGACCTTTATTACATTGCTTTCCTACCATTCTTTTTCAAGACAGCAGCAAAAAGAATCCTGTTAAGATGGAAATCACAGGCCCAGTGCTGGTGGCTCACGTCTGTAATCCTAGCTACTCAGGAGGCTGAAATCTGAGGATCACAGACTGGGCAGGAAAGCCTATGAGATTCTTATCTCCGATTAACCACCAGAAAACTGGAAGTGGTGCTGTAGCTCAAGTGGTTGAGTGCTCACTTTAAGTTGAAGAGCCCAGGCCCAGAGTTCAAGCCCCATGACTGACCAAAAAAAAAAAGAAAGATGAAAGTCACCTTATATCACGTTCTTCAAAACCCCCTAGTGTATTTTCCAAGTCCTTATAATTGATGATGTGGCCCCTAGATCTCTCTGACCACCTCCTTCTCTAAGGACAGAGTGGTTTACTCCAGCCACACTGGCCTCCATCCTGCCTGGAGATTCCCCACTTCAAGATATTTATCCTCATGTCCCCAAGCTGGGAATACTCTCACTTCCAACAACTCAATGTTTCACTCCTCATTTTCTGTAGATCATTTCTCAAATGTCATTTTTCTTTTCTTTTTTAAATTTTTATAATTATCTTGAAGCAGTTGCACAAAGGAGATATAATTAATTCAACATGTAAGTTCATGAGTACAATGAATCTTGATCAATGTCACTCCTTTCATCTTTCTGCCCATCTCTTACAACCCCAATCATCTACCCCCTCAATTTTCCTATCATCTTTTCAATGACAGCGTTCCTGACTCCCGACAGTTTCTATCTCCCTTCCCAGGTCTATTTTTATGATGTCACTCAATGGCTTCCTAATGTACTAGAGCTGGCTTAGTTACTTATTGTTTGTTCCATTCAAACTGATTTAAGGGCAGGACTGTGTCCCTCCTTTTTCCATTGCTGTATTTCCAGAACAATGCTTGGCTTGTATGACAGTCGCAATAATTACTCATTCACTGAATGGAAAATGAATTATCTCTTGCCTTCTTAATTGGTAAAGCTCGATATTGGTATACACTGCTTGGGTCATTCTCTTCTTATGAAAGAACAGAACCACATTTAAGGGAAGTGAACTAATTCAGAAAAAATGTTTGGCCTGTATGCTTGCTACACACCAAGTAAATCTGATGATTTTACTGTTTCATAATGTTCTAATATTTCTGCCAGGGGCAAAAGGCAGCCTTCTTTTTTTTTTTTAAAAAGGGAGACATTTGCATTTTGTTCTGTTTTATTTTTTAATTTCACATATACAGTTTTGTTAAATGAAGCAATGTGCAAAAATATACAGAGTTATGCAGAGTCAGAAAAATATTTTTCTCTAACAGATGAAAAGCTGTACCAGGAGCTAGGGTGAATAACTCTCCCAGTATACCCAGAATTTTCTGGAATGTCAGACTTTTATTGACCCAAACAATAAAATTATGGCAAACCAAGATAGTTGTTCACTTGAATTAAGAAAAGTATTTTTATATGGTTGTAAATGCTTTATACTCCAAGAGAATTAATCCTAATACCTGAAAGTGAACAGGTTTTTGTGAAGGTAATTCTTCTAGTACATAATAAAGTGGCTTTTAAATAAAATTTTGCTTTAGTTCTTGTCACTGCTAACCATGGGAGGTTTTAAAAAGGAAGATGAATCATCTCATGAGGACAGAAGCAAAGTCAGGTCTGCAAAAGCAGGTGCTGGACTACAAAAATGTCTTGAACTATTCCCTTAAACAAAAGGGTAGCACAGGGTAGCACTAGGTTTAGATAGGCAGGAATCAAAACATCAGACATCTTCTATACCAGTTTGTAAAAACTACATCCAATACCATATACCCCTTGCTGCCTCTTTTTTCACATCTTTTGTCCAGAATTCTGGTCAGAGTTATAGAATGAAAAGAGCTTATACCGATTTTTATTCAGTGTTACTAATGTCAACTCTGATTAAATACTGTTATCACTTCCTGGGATGACATAAAGATGCCCTCTTACTGCACTTCTGAAAGAATTCAAGAAAGAACACCCTTCCCTTGGGCAAACATCTGCAGAGAAAGAAAGAGTTCACAAGCTGGAAGGGAGCACACTAATCATAATATCAAACAAATGGGCTTTGGAGTCAATACCAGGAGTTGAACCAGAAAGCATTCAGAGGAAGACTAGGATACATAAATGAGAGTATGTATGTAAAATTGAACAGTATCTAATGCATTGTTCATGTTCCAAACATTTGCTGACATAACTATTTTGATGTATGTGAAAGTGTTCTGACAGAAAATCATAGTTACTGAGGTTAGAGGGAAAATATGGATGCAAATGAAATTCTGGACTTATTTTAAGATTGTTTTCTCACTTTGATGACAGAGGCAGTCCTACTGATCCCAGTCCTACTG